CAGCACGTTGCAGAGGGCCGTGCATGCCCACCTGACAAGCACGACAGCCTGGGGATATAACCGCAGGGATATTCGGCTCACATGGAGTGAGGGGCGGAACCAGAGGATGTGACGTCCAGCTCGGAGAGGAGATTGTACCATACCATCTCGTAAACGCTGCTCGTTAACGTTGATGTTTGGTGGGGATTACTGCAAGCAGCGGGATGGCCGATTGAGCGCATACGGTGGGTTAAAGTGAACGGAAAGCGGAACAGCAGCATTTAAGAGTCACAACACGGGGGCAAGGCACGCCTACAATGGATATAACCTTTGTATTATTTGCTATTATTTCTACGCTTCTCGCCATTGTGGTCGCAACGTCGCTTTTTAACGGCTCTTCGCCTGCAGCAGACTTTGCAAATGCGCGGAGTTATTTCGGACACAGAGATGGTGTGACCGGAGGATTAGATCAATCCGGGCCGAAACAGAATGGCCATCTACCCGATAAGAAAAAGAAGAAGGAGGCGGACGACTGGTGCGAAATCAGCGGGAGCTCACACGATCACTGGGATGTAGTGAAATCTGTGCTTTCTGTAAGTAGCCTGTCTGTAATCCGCCTGTCATTTAGTGTAAACACAGAGGTCTGCGTAGATCTCCCACAATCTGTTTCACAACTATCCCTCCCACTGAGAGACTCAAACCCAAGGATAGAAGCTCAGAAAAACATTTAGATCCTTATTTCTATGATTCTCGATTTAAAATGACCGTAAACTTAAAGGTTGTGTAAAAAATGCACTAATTCTGATGTATTAGTGTTTACAACGTTACATGTGAATACAATATCAGTACTGATGCATTAACGTGAAATCAGAATTTTAAGGTTGTAGCTTTTCCTCACAAAGATGTTTCACCTTCTTTGTAGACAGTTGCGTATGTCAGCTGATTGGACAGTATTCAGTATAAATTTTGATAAAATGCTTACTTGGAGCCAAAGTTGAATCTCAAATGTGAATAATAAAGGTTTCTCTTATCATAGTAGGTGTATCATTCCTGATAGTTTTTGGCAATAATTCAAAAATAAGAGATGATTTGATCAGTCAAGAAAATGAGAAGTATAAACTGTACCTAGTGGTAGTTGTTTTTTAACTTAATAAAAAAAACAACTACCACTAGGCCCCTCATTTTGGGTCTGTGTGGGAAATCCAGGATATGCTTACTGAGTGTGTAAATTCATCAGTGACATCACTGTCTGTGAGGAAAACATTGAAAAGTATGGTATGATTCTCCTCATTTATCCCTTAATTATCTAACAGGAGGAAGCACACTCCCACCCTCAATCTGAAGAACTGGAAACCCTGGCTGATTGGTCCAGGCCTGGATCTAGGAATACAATCTTAGAGGCAGAGTCATCATCCAATGCTTCATCAGGGACAGGCCGAAGGTCGCTCATTGGGCTTTCTGATACAGAGCTCCTAAAGTGTGCTTTTTCTTACCCCCAAACTGAAGGAGCATCAGAGAGAGCTGGGATGAATGGTATGCACTTTTACTCACTTGGAAAGAGCAAAATATTTTAGATTTCCTTTTTTGTTTTTGTTTTTGCCTTTGTTTGTTTGTTTGTTTGTTTTTAATCAAAATTTGATCTGTTTCAGCAGAAAAGGTGGAATCAAATGCAAATAATTCCTTGAAGTACGTCCCAGGAAAGGCACGATCCCACCACTTGGAAAAGATGATGACCAAAGAGGAGCTGGAGGAGGAGCAGAGGTCAGTGAAAACTACAAATATGAAAACCAGTTTCAAGGCTCAGCCTATAGAAAAAGGCAATTTATTAATCAGCAACAAGCAATTATTATTCTCCAAAACTGTCCATCAT